TGATGTATTACTAAAGATAAGGGTAACATTATCATCAATGACTTGGATGTTGATTTCCTCATGAAGTCATCAAAGAATTTAATAGAGTAACCTTTGTAATGGAAATTGACTGGTTTAAATTTGAATGGTTCTTTTACTGATTTGATTGATAAAAAGAATTTGTCATCAGTACTTATATAAGGATCCATTTTTATTTTTTTTAAAGGCGAAACTAACGAAAGCAATCTAGAACAGTGTTGTGAGTGTAAAAATCAAGTGAGTTCTGACAAGGATCCAATTGAGATGAAATTAATTATGTTACAGCTCAGCCTATGAATGTGAGCCAGCCACTGGTACCACCCCCTTCTTATGACACAACAACTGGTCCTGCTCCCTATGACACAACAACTGGTCCTGCTCCCTATGACATCAACAATCAAGGTAAATCCCAACTCAATATTACTGAAAATGTACACATGTGCAGTTTACACATTTAAACATATCAGTGTACACATCTAAACATGTACAGTGTACACATCTAAACATACAAGTGTACACATCTAACCATATCAGTGTACACATCTACACATGTCAGTAAACATTTAGTACACATCTAAATATGTCAGTGTACCCATCTAAACATATCAGTGTACACATCTAAACATGTACAGTGTACACATCTAAACATGTACAGTGTATACATCTAAACATGTCAGTGTACACATCTAAACATGTCAGTAAACATAGTGTATACATCTAAACATTGTGTACACATCTAAACATGTCAGTAAACATTTAGTACACATCTAAATATGTCAGTAGATATTGTGTACACATCTAAACATGTCAGCGAACATAGAGTACACATCTAAATATGTCGTCAGTAAACATTGTGTACACATCTAAACATGTCAGCAAACATTGTTTACACATCTAAACATTTCGGTAAATATTGTGTACACATCTAAACATGTCAGCAAACATTGTGTACACATCTAAACATGTCCATAAACATTGTGTACACATCTAAACATGTCAGTAAACATAGTTTACACATCTGAACATGTCCATAAACATTGTGTACACATCTAAACATGTCAGCAAACATAGAGTACACATCTAATCATGTCTGTAAACATTGTGTACACATCTAAATATGTCGTCAGTAAACATTGTGTACACATCTAAACATGTCAGGAAACATAGTGTACACATCTAAACATGCCTGTAAACATTGTGTCCCCATTGGAACATGTCCATAAACATTGTGTTCACATCTAAACATGTCGGTAAACAATGTGTACACATCTAAACATGTCAGCAAACATTGTTTACACATCTAAACATTTCGGTAAATATTGTGTACACATCTAAACATGTCTGTAAACATTGTGTCCCCATTGGAACATGTCCATAAACATTGTGTTCACATCTCAACATGTCGGTAAACAATGTGTACACATCTAAACATGTCAGCAAACATTGTTTACACATCTAAACATTTCGGTAAATATTGTGTACACATCTAAACATGTCAGCGAACATAGAGTACACATCTAAACATGTCCATAAACATTGTGTACACATCTAAACATGTCAGCAAACATAGAGTACACATCTAAACATGTCAGTAAACATTGTGTACACATCTAAACATGTCAGCGAACATAGAGTACACATCTAAACATGTCCATAAACATTGTGTACACATCTAAATATGTCAGTAGTGTACCTCTGGAGCTATGCATTTCCTCAAACCAAACCAGGTAACTCTTGAGTTAGGCATTTCCTCACAATATCAAAATCAAGTAGTGTACCTCTGGAGTTAGGCATTTCCTAAAAAAAAACAGGAATTTCCTCCACCGCATCTGGCTCTTAGAAAGTATATAGGTCACCACTTTCTTAATTGAACAAAGTAAACAGGGAAACGTCCTAGTCAGAAACCAGATCATAGTGGCTAATAGAGTCTATCATATATAGGCATGTTGGATATAGATAATCTACCTAGAACTTGAGTCAGAACTGAGGCTGTACTGATGTTCTGACACCAAATTTTGCACCCCAGGGTAGAACCTCTGTATTCCTAATACCTGTATATAATGAATGACTCTTCTTCTCCAAACTCTTAACCAAAATTTTGGAAAAACAGGACGTAGACAATGCAGAAGGAACACTAATTATGGCAGAATTTCTAGATAACGTACTGTTACACAAACTGAAGCCATATTTGGGAAGAACAGAAAATGTCCAGCATACCTAAACTTTAACGATCCATGAAAGACCTTCAGGGCCAGCTTCAGGGCCAGCTTTAGGGCCAGCTTCAGGGCCAGCTTCAGCTTCAGGGCCAGCTTCAGGGCCAGCTTTAGGGCCAGCTTCAGGGCCAGCTTCAGGGCCAGCTTTCAAATGTTTTATTCTTGGGGTGGAGTAAAAACTTGCTGACAGCAAGATTAATTGCCACAGTCTGTCATATGACAATTTGACACATTTTCAATTGTATAACCTCATAATAAAACATTGTTGCATCTGATAATTACTTCATAATAGTATAGGTAAATGATTACACCAATGTGGGATGTGTGTATCCCACGTGGATGTTCCACATGTGTATCCCACGTGGATGTTCTGCATGTATGTCCCACGCGGATGATCCGCATGTATATCCAATGCAGATGTTCCACATGGATGTTCCTCACAAGTTGTATGGATAGAAATGCCCTTATGTGCATTATATAAATTGTTAGTTATATTACCCTTTGGTTATCTGTTCTCCTTGGTTTATATGGGGAAATAACACTTCTGACTATATCGTGTCCATTTCAGCAAGAAAAAATTGTTCTGACATGAGTAAGTCCCCTTTGTATTTGTTTTATGTTCTGACATGAGTAAGCCCCCTTTATATTTATTTTATGTTCTGACATGAGTAAGCCCCCTTCATATTTATTTTATGTTCTGATATGAGTAAGGCCCCTTTGTATTTGTTTTAGGTTCTGACATGAATAAGCCCCCTTCGTATTTGTTTTATGTTCTGACATGAGTAAGGCCCCTTTGTATTTGTTTTATGTTCTGACATGAGTAAGCTCCCTTTGTATTTGTTTTAGGTTCTGACATGAGTAAGGCCCCTTTGTATTTGTTTTAGGTTCTGACATGAGTAAGGCCGCTTTGTATTTGTTTAAGGTTCGGACATGAGTAACCTCCCTTTGTATTTGTTTAAGGTTCTGACATGAGTTAGCTCCCTTTGTATTTATTTGTTTTAGGTTCTGACATGAGTAAGCCCCCTTTGCCTGGTGGAGATATGAGTGGTGCTGCCTACCCACCTGGTGATGGTTATACTATTCAGCCAGCAGGCGGTAAGTATACTGCTGGTACATTAGTTGAATCATTAGTTAGCTCTCTATGATCTCTCAAACCTGATCAGGATAGTGATTGATGTATGATATTCTTAACATGTTGATGTAAGATCGCCTGTACTTAGTTATAAACCTCTGACTAGTGTCCACTAGCTGTTACGTACCTCTGACAATTGTCCACTAGCTGTTATGTACCTCTGACTAGTGTCCGCTAGCTGTTACGTACCTCTGACAAGTGTCCACTAGCTGTTACGTACCTCTGACTAGTGTCCACTAGCTGTTACGTACCTCTGACTAGTGTCCACTAGCTGTTACGTACCTCTGACTAGTGTCCACTAGCTGTTACGTACCTCTGACTAGTGTCCACTAGCTGTTACGTACCTCTGACTAGTGTCCACTAGCTGTTACGTACCTCTGACTAGTGTCCACTAGCTGTTACGTACCTCTGACTAGTGTCCACTAGCTGTTACGTACCTCTGACTAGTGTCCACTAGCTGTTACGTACCTCTGACTAGTGTCCACTAGCTGTTACGTACCTCTGACTAGTGTCCACTAGCTGTTACGTACCTCTGACTAGTGTCCACTAGCTGTTACGTACCTCTGACTAGTGTCCACTAGCTGTTACGTACCTCTGACTAGTGTCCACTAGCTGTTACGTACCTCTGACTAGTGTCCACTAGCTGTTACGTACCTCTGACTAGTGTCCACTAGCTGTTACGTACCTCTGACTAGTGTCCACTAGCTGTTACGTACCTCTGACTAGTGTCCACTAGCTGTTACGTACCTCTGACTAGTGTCCACTAGCTGTTACGTACCTCTGACTAGTGTCCACTAGCTGTTACGTACCTCTGACTAGTGTCCACTAGCTGTTACGTACCTCTGACTAGTGTCCACTAGCTGTTACGTACCTCTGACTAGTGTCCACTAGCTGTTACGTACCTCTGACTAGTGTCCACTAGCTGTTACGTACCTCTGACTAGTGTCCACTAGCTGTTACGTACCTCTGACTAGTGTCCACTAGCTGTTACGTACCTCTGACTAGTGTCCACTAGCTGTTACGTACCTCTGACTAGTGTCCACTAGCTGTTACGTACCTCTGACTAGTGTCCACTAGCTGTTACGTACCTCTGACTAGTGTCCACTAGCTGTTACGTACCTCTGACTAGTGTCCACTAGCTGTTACGTACCTCTGACTAGTGTCCACTAGCTGTTACGTACCTCTGACTAGTGTCCACTAGCTGTTACGTACCTCTGACTAGTGTCCACTAGCTGTTACGTACCTCTGACTAGTGTCCACTAGCTGTTACGTACCTCTGACTAGTGTCCACTAGCTGTTACGTACCTCTGACTAGTGTCCACTAGCTGTTACGTACCTCTGACTAGTGTCCACTAGCTGTTACGTACCTCTGACTAGTGTCCACTAGCTGTTACGTACCTCTGACTAGTGTCCACTAGCTGTTACGTACCTCTGACTAGTGTCCACTAGCTGTTACGTACCTCTGACTAGTGTCCACTAGCTGTTACGTACCTCTGACTAGTGTCCACTAGCTGTTACGTACCTCTGACTAGTGTCCACTAGCTGTTACGTACCTCTGACTAGTGTCCACTAGCTGTTACGTACCTCTGACTAGTGTCCACTAGCTGTTACGTACCTCTGACTAGTGTCCACTAGCTGTTACGTACCTCTGACTAGTGTCCACTAGCTGTTACGTACCTCTGACTAGTGTCCACTAGCTGTTACGTACCTCTGACTAGTGTCCACTAGCTGTTACGTACCTCTGACTAGTGTCCACTAGCTGTTACGTACCTCTGACTAGTGTCCACTAGCTGTTACGTACCTCTGACTAGTGTCCACTAGCTGTTACGTACCTCTGACTAGTGTCCACTAGCTGTTACGTACCTCTGACTAGTGTCCACTAGCTGTTACGTACCTCTGACTAGTGTCCACTAGCTGTTACGTACCTCTGACTAGTGTCCACTAGCTGTTACGTACCTCTGACTAGTGTCCACTAGCTGTTACGTACCTCTGACTAGTGTCCACTAGCTGTTACGTACCTCTGACTAGTGTCCACTAGCTGTTACGTACCTCTGACTAGTGTCCACTAGCTGTTACGTACCTCTGACTAGTGTCCACTAGCTGTTACGTACCTCTGACTAGTGTCCACTAGCTGTTACGTACCTCTGACTAGTGTCCACTAGCTGTTACGTACCTCTGACTAGTGTCCACTAGCTGTTACGTACCTCTGACTAGTGTCCACTAGCTGTTACGTACCTCTGACTAGTGTCCACTAGCTGTTACGTACCTCTGACTAGTGTCCACTAGCTGTTACGTACCTCTGACTAGTGTCCACTAGCTGTTACGTACCTCTGACTAGTGTCCACTAGCTGTTACGTACCTCTGACTAGTGTCCACTAGCTGTTACGTACCTCTGACTAGTGTCCACTAATTGTTACATACAGTATCTTAGTATTAAATTGAAATTCTGTTATACTCAACCATTCTAAAGCAAGTTTAATTTAGTTCTCCAAATACTGTTCGAGTATAGTAATAGTAAACTGTTTTGTGTTACAGCTCCGCCCTACCCAGCTGGAGCCTATCCGACAGGCCAGTTTACTGCCCCGCCCTATGGTGTACAGCCCTACCCAGGAGCAAGCCTCCCCCCTCAGACAGGATATGAGCCCTCTGCACCACCTTCTGCAGCCCAGCCTTACCCTGGAGCAAACCCTCAGCCCTACCCTGGAGGAAACCTCCCACCTCAGTCCTACCCTGGAGCAAACCTCCCACCCCAGCCTTACCCCGCCTCACATATACAGTTTGACTCCCAGGGAGCTGTGCCTTATCCTGCACAGCCACCACCCCAGTGAGACTAAGGATGGTCCCATATCTTGGCGACTATGAAAAGCATTGTCAACACTGCGGCTATATGAAGAGAAAAACGTCACTACAAAGGCCGCTGTTATTCAACTTTATGATCAGTTCACCAAACAAACTGTGATCAAGAAAGTGCAATGTTATCTTTGATTTTTGAATTAAATACAGATGTATGAGGGCCTAGGATACAGATGTTTGAGGGCCTAGGATACAGATGTATGAGGGCCTAGGATACAGATGTATGAGGGCCTAGGATACAGATGTATGAGGGCCTAGGATCACTAAACTGATTGTTCCTATGGATCAAAAGTGGTACTTTTTACACAAACAATGTATGTAGAGAACATGTCGCAATGTTGCAGACCCACTGGTCCCTTTGTCAAGCTAGTCGGTCACAACTGGACAAAGGCACCAGTCAGTCTTGAAATGTTGTGGAACCTTTCATACATATTTATCGTTTCAGTATAAAGTAAAACTTTGATACAAACATATTTTCAAACTGATGAATTTTATTGAAGGAAAAATGAAAGAGTTATATGTAGGTGGAATTATTCATAGAAGTTAGGGTGCCAAGTGTATAGGGTCACACCAGTCACCAACCAAGTAGGTGAAATGTTTGTCCTCCGATAAAATATGTATCAATTATATCAGGAATATTGGAGGAAATTTTCATCAAATATATTGAGGAACTGTAAGCATTGTGGGCTGTATAGGTATTGGGGGGTGGGGGGGGGGGGGGGGGGGGGGGCTACGTATGTAAACCTGGTGGTTCTGTGAGGTAGAATAAACAACATTTTTGAAACATGATATATTTTGGAAACATAGTTGTTATGACATCTAAATTCTTTTTAGGAGATACACAAGAAAATCATCAATTGTAGCATCGTAGTAAATGATATGAAGAATATAATATGAATGTGTTCTCACCAGTAACTGTTGTGTTTGAGCGCGTTCTGACTGATGTGTTCTCACCAGTAACTGTTGTGTTTGAGCGCGTTCTGACTGATGTGTTCTCACCAGTAACTGTTGTGTTTGAGCGCGTCTAACCGAAGCCCTTGTCAATAAGTCTCCTTTAGTTAATGTTATTTTACTGAACACTTCAGAACAGTTGTACTAGGTGTATCTGTCCAATAAGTACACTTTACATGAAGTGTTAACTCTAGTAGTTGAGTTGAGTCTTCTTTTCAGGACAATATGCTGGCCCTATAAATGTACATCAAATCAAAGGTTTATCTCGAGTGCTAGGTAAAATAGAATAAAGAGTCAGAATAAAGAAATTACTGTAGAATTTCCCTTGACAAAATGGATATAGCTGCCATAAAATTTCCCTGACAAAATGGATATAGCTGTAGAAATTCTCCTGACAAAAAGGATATAGCTGTAGAAATTCTCCTGACAAATGGATATAGCTGTAGAAACTTCCCTGACAAAACAGATATAGCTGTAGAAATTCTCCTGACAAAATGGATATATAGCTGTTTTATTTCTCCTGACAAAATGGATATAGCTAAAGCTGTATATAATTCCACTGACAAAATGGATATAGCTGTAGAATTTCTGCATACAAAACGGATATAGCTGTAGTATTTCTGCCTACAAAATGGATATAGCTGAAGAATTTCTACTGATAAATAGATATAGCCGTATAATGTCTGCATAAAAAATGGATATATATAGCCATTACCGTGTGTTACTTGGGTGTTCTGAAGTTTACTTATATATGCCATAGTGTCTTATCCACTGCACATATACAAACAGTAGGACAGAAACAACAAATGTCTGTAAATCGCCTGTGATTTTATAGAAATTATACATTCAGGAATGACACCTTATCAATCTGCCATGTATAATCCCCGTCACTGTGTGGGGGAGTCGTCAGGTTTTCTATCATTGTTCCAGTGATACATTTACATTCGATGTACCTAAAACGAACTCTAATTGGATTTTTTAGATTTGAAAAAAAAAATGAAATTGTGGTTTGGTTATGCATTTCAAACATGTTTATTTCATTTTAAAATCATTTTGATATAATCCTTTATTTATAGTGTCGTTAATATTTTTGCCTATTTAATCGTACTTTATTAATTGTATTGAGATTGGCATTAATCCTATTTGAAAATATTTTGTGATGTATTTATGTGTTTCTGATATTTTATTGTAACAAATATTTTGTGATGTATTTATGTGTTTCTGATATTTTAACAAATATTTTTTACAATTGTGTTTATAACATTTCGTTTTTTTATTGCAATGCTTTCATTCAAAATCATGGTTGTAAGATTTCTGAAAATCTATTTGTATAATTTGATATTGATAAGTGTAAAATTGGATGAGTGGTGGTACATACCTATAACTAGAGTTGATATATATGTAGCCATCGTTAGCCATTGCTCAGCCGTGGGCTGTCAGGGACTACAAGCTTTGATATTGATGTAAGGATGAGTGGTGGTACATACCTATAACTAGAGTTGATATATATGTAGCCATCGTTAGCCATTGCTCAGCCGTGGGCTGTCAGGGACTACAAGCTTTGATATTGATGTAAGGATGAGTGGTGGTACATACCTATAACTAGAGTTGATATATATGTAGCCATCGTTAGCCATTGCTCAGCCGTGGGCTGTCAGGGACTACAAGCTTTGATATTGATGTAAGGATGAGTGGTGGTACATACCTATAACTAGAGTTGATATATATGTAGCCATCGTTAGCCATTGCTCAGCCGTGGGCTGTCAGGGACTACAAGCTTTGATATTGATGTAAGGATGAGTGGTGGTACATACCTATAACTAGTGTTGATATATATGTAGCCATCGTTAGCCATTGCTCAGCCATGGGCTGTCAGGGACTACAAGCTTTGAGCTTTTATTCATTTGTATTGGGCCTCCTACACAATATAATATGGTATAGACAATCTGTTTGTGTAGTTCCATATTTTTACTGTCAGAAAAGCAGTCCTCAGTTTGGCATTAATTTCTAATGAAAAGACTGAATTTTTAATAGACTTTATTTGTAATTGTTTGGCATAATTTTTTAATGAAAAGACTGTATTTTTAATTGTTTGGCATTATTTTTCAATGAAATGACTGTATTTTTAATTGTGCTCAGAGTTGAGAGATTTCATAGCAGCCAGCATTGCTGGTCTTTATAGCAACATCATGTCCTGCTAGTTCAGTGTGAAAAGGATATTCCTGAAAAAATATTTAAAAGTGTTCATTGAGCCATTCGACCAAATATTTATTCCAGTGACCCTGTTGTTATTTATTTTGGTAGTTGTAAGTTTGTAATGTCGTAAGGTTTTGATAGGCACCTCTCCTGTTATGCTAATTTCTACCTATTTCAGCACACTATCGACATAGATTTACATTCGTTTGATCTTTGGTAAAATTGTGCTGATTTGGTTTAGTAATTGTTTACGTTGTTATTCATTCTGCATCAACTTTCTATTTATTTTGTTATGTGCTTTGGTACTTTGTATTTCTATTGTGTATTTCTATTATTTCTATTGTGTATTTCTATTGTGTATTTAATGATGTATTGTTTCTGAGGTCAACACCTTGCTTCACATGTTACAGCACTTTTGTCAGTTTGTAACACATTGTGTCAAATGTATCCACTAATGATATTATCATCCTCTTCCGAATATAAACAAATCATAATACATTCGTCCGTAATAACACCTTATTTTGTTGTAATGATAACACCTGGGTTTCCATGTTTACTGATGATAACACCTGGGTCCCCATGTTTACTGATGATAACACCTTGGTTTCCATGTTTACTGATGATAACACCTGGGTTTCCATGTTTACTGATGATAACACCTGGGTCCCCATGTTTAATAACACCTTAATTTGTCTATGTTTTAACTGATTACGATACCTTGGTCTAAAGTTCTCTGGGAATAACACCCTGATTTGATTGCATTATGATAATCACAATTTGGTCCATTATTCACCTTGTATTTGTTGTAACCTTATCAGTTATGAGGTATGTAACGAGACATGCTGTGTTACCTGTGTAATGACTAAATACATTGTGTGATCTACAGCCACTGATAGTTGTATTTTCTGTGATCATTATATATTGCCTGCCGTAGTAATTTTGTTTACATATTTTGCATTGCTTTCGTCCTTTTTTTCTTGATATTGATAGTGTCTGTATATATTAGGGTTGTCCGCTGTATATATTAGGGTTATCCTCTGTATATATTAGGGTTGTCCGCTGTATATATTAGGGTTGTCCACTGTATATATTAGGGTTATCCGCTGTATATATTAGGGTTATCCGCTGTATATATTAGGGTTGTCCGCTGTATATATTAAGGTTGTCCTCTGTATATATTAGGGTTGTCCGCTGTATATATTAGGGTTATCCGCTGTATATATTAGGGTTATCTGCTGTATATATTAGGGTTGTCAGCGGATAACTGGTTACATTGTCTCAGTCGGAAGACCACAAACTGGTTACGAAAATTAGAAACCGAATAGTCGCACATAAATTTATTTACCCTGGCTTATACCTACAAATTATCTAATGATAAGACCGAAATAAGATTTTTTGGAAATAACAATGTTCAGACTGGCCTGTTAGGGTATTGTTGTTGTACTCCATAGTAGGAGAATGATTGACGTAGAGATGTCACCCACACCATACATGTGAAATCCCTAAATAGCGAGGTAGATCCTTTTGTTTGAGGATAGGAAATTGTAAAAATATTCTCCAGAGTAAACAGTTGAATGATATGTGAAACATCAAACCATATTTACCATCATATGGCATTGTCACTATATAACCCTACCAAATTCAGTTGGCATTCATGTAGGCTATGAATGCCATGGACCGATTGTTGAGGTCATCATTATTATAACGTCATAATTGTTACGCTACTGACCCTCCCTGTGCGATGGCTGTTCTATTCATTGAACACGCATACATGGTACATACATTATTTGAACTAAATGCTGAATAATAGTAAGTGTAATTGAATTTTCTATGAGATGAACAGATTCCAAAACTGGTAAATTTAAGTATTGAACTGCTTTCAGTTGGCATTTATAGGCAATATAAATTCCAACTGGACAGAGGCAAATCCAACATGAGGCACTAGTACGCTTCATTGAATTTGCCTTTGTCCAGATGGCATTCATATTGCCTATGAATTCCAACTGAAAGCAGTTCAATGCTTAACTGGGGCTATCATCTATGAATTAGTTCCTCAATAAAACCATGTTCCTCAAGAACAACATTACTGCATTTAAGTTTAAGTAGAAATAACTTTTATAGCATGTTGTCAGTAAAATAATCTTATTGAAGTAACATATATATGTATTTCCTGCCTTTAGGTGTCAAGAGCTTGATCTACGTTAGTAATTTTAATGCTAACTAATAAATATGAACTGTAAAAAAGTTTTAAATAGGATATTAGCTAAACATGTGTAATGTCTTTGTTGTTGTTTATTGGTTGATTACTAAACCGACCGATTAACGGTTACTCAGTCAACCCTACTGTATGTACATCTACAGATCATTTATACCTACCTACTGTATGTACATCTATGGATCATTTATACCTACCTACTGTATGTACATCTACGGATAATGTATACCTACCTACTGTATGTACATCTACGGATCATTTATACCTACCTACTATATGTACATCTTCGGATCATTTATACCTACCTACTGTATGTACATCTACCGATCATTTATACCTACCTACTGTATGTACATCTACCGATCATTTATACCTACCTACTGTATGTACATCTATGGAATGTCTTTGTTGTTGTTTATTGGTTGATTACTAAACCGACCGATTAACGGTTACTCAGTCAACCCTACTGTATGTACATCTACAGATCATTTATACCTCCCTACTGTATGTACATCTATGGATCATTTATACCTACCTACTGTATTTACATACATCTACGGATCATTTATACCTACCTCCTATATGTACACCTACAGATCATTTATACCTACCTACTGTATGTACATCTGCGGATCATTTATACCTACCCACTGTATGTACATCTATGGATCATTTATACCTACCTACTGTATTTACATACATCTACGGATCATTTATACCTACCTCCTATATGTACATCTCCGGATCATTTATACCTACCTACTGTATGTACATCATTTATACCTACCCACTGTATGTACATCTATGGATCATTTATACCTACCTACTGTATTTACATACATCTACGGATCATTTATACCTACCTACTAGATGTACATCTACGGATCATTTATACCTACCTACTATATATACATCTACGGATCATTTATACCTACCTACTATCTGTACATCTACGGATCATTTATACCTACCTACTAATTGTACATCTACGGATCATTTGTAGCTACCTACTGTATGTACATCTATGGATCATTTATACCTACCTACTGTATTTACATACAGCTACGGATCATTTATACCTACCTACTATATGTACATCTACGGACCATTTATACCTACCTACTGGATGTACATCTATGGATCATTTATACCTACCTACTGAATGTACATCTGCGGATCATTTATACCTACCTACTGTATGCACATCTGCGGATCATTTATACCTACCTACTATATGTACATCTACGGACCATTTATACCTACCTACTGGATGTACATCTATGGATCATTTATACCTACCTACTGTATTTACATACATCTTCGGATCATTTATACCTACCTACTACATGTACATCTGCGGATCATTTATACCTACCTACTGTATGCACATCTGCGGATCATTTATACCTACCTACTATATGTACATCTACGGACCATTTATACCTACCTACTGGATGTACATCTATGGATCATTTATACCTACCTACTGTATTTACATACATCTACGGATCATTTATACCTACCTCCTATATGTACATCTCCGGATCATTTATACCTACCTACTGTATGTACATCTGCGGATCATTTATACCTACCTACTGTATGCACATCTGCGGATCATTTATACCTACCTACTATATGTACATCTACGGACCATTTATACCTACCTACTGGATGTACATCTATGGATCATTTATACCTACCTACTGTATGTACATCATTTATACCTACCCACTGTATGTACATCTATGGATCATTTATACCTACTGTATGTACATCTACAGATCATTTATACCTGCCTACTGTATGTACATCTACGGATCATTTATACTTACCTACTATATGTACATCTACGGATCATTTATTCCTACCTACTGTATGTACATCTACGGATCATTTATACCTACCTACTATATGAACATCTACGGATCATTTATACCTATCTACTGTATGTACATCTACGGATCATTTATACCTACCTACTGTATGTACATCTGCGGATCATTTATACCTACCTACTGTATGTACATACATATATGGTACACTATTGGTTGATGTTACACCATTTGTTGATGGTACACCATTGGTTGATGATACAACATTGGTTGATGGTACACCATTGGTTGATGGTACACTAGGTACACCATTGTTTGATGGTACACCATTGATTGATGGTACACTATTGGTTGATGGTACACTATTGGTTGATGGTACACCATTGGTCGACAAAACACCATTGGGTAATGATACACCATTAGAAGTTGTATATTCATTTTGAAAATAGCATTGAAACTAGCACAACCGTAGGGTCTGTTATAGCCTACTTTGTACTGCAGCATATTTCCACTTTAGATAGCCTTATGGTGTATAGTAACCATCAGAACACTGAATTTAACCTCTCGGTCACATTTAGTTGATGTACTTTTTACTGAATATTGATCAATAACATATTCTTATGATAGATCTATACAATGTCATTTGTAATATACCATTTTGTGTTTCCATTTTGTTTTTGTCCTATCGCCATTACTTTATTTATTACCCCTTTGAGAAAAATCTAGGAATCTGATTGGTTAAAAGCTACAGTGTACCAAACCGCATTCGTAAATCTCAAGGGGTATACGAAAATCTCAGGAGGTATACGGTCATGTCACGTGATTCTCAGCAGTAATACGGTGGAATCACGTGCTTTTACAAGGGGTATACGGGTCACGTGTCTTTGTATCTTGCGGCCGGGCAATGGGAGACAACTCGCATTCGTCGTCTGCTTCCGGCGATGTTTACAAAATGACAAAACGTTTCGCTTCGCATACTGATGAGGAAATACTCGCCAAAAGGGCTATGTGCCACAAAACACACAAAAGTCGAACAGACGAGCGGCAAACATGCTGAGGACGTATTTAAAAGAAAAGAATCAGGAAGAACAGTTCGAGGAATTTGATAAAACGAAACTAAATGAGGTAGATCTACTGTGCCATTTTTATCTTGACAACAGAAAAGTTGACGGGGAACTGTACAAAACCAATATAAAAGACTCAAATGGGTAATAAATTCGTTACACGAATATTTGGCAGGGTATACGGGATGGTATGAACCTACAGGATTTCGTATTTCCTTCGGTCTATCGGCCTCCGGAAATACGAAACCCTTTAGGGTCATACCATCCCGTATACCCTGCCAAAAATCCGTGTAACTAATAGTATTCCGTTCTTGTGTTTAGATTTTATATTACTAGTACTTACAATACAGTGTTACTTAATATTTTGGCTGTGATTTCATGTTAAAGATTATATGTATGTGTTTCTCCTTTTATATAATACAAGTAATGTGCTGCTATTTAATCTAATAAAATAATCAACTGAAAATGATCTTTGTTAACATTTACAGTACAAATCGTGAGTCGAACTACAGTAAATATTTTAGTTTTTTAATCTGTTTGTTTAAGCAATACTGTAGTAGCCTAAATATGTCATAATGTGTCAATATATTTGCACTTATAAATAAGTAAATGCGAAAATCGTGAACATTTCCACAACATGACAATTTAAACCTTATTAATAGAATACCGAACGTCATGTAAGTGCATCACAGTAAACGAAAGAGAGAACATATGTAGACTGGTGTTTTATTACATTTTTACCAGAGAAATATTGAAAATTAGTCATTCTATAAAAGTGATATTTTTCACTAGCTATAGGCCTAGTGAAAACTATCATTTTTATACGCCCGTCGAAGACGGGGACGTATTATGTTATCACGTGAGCATACTTCACAACAAGGTTAATTACCATGAAACCTCGGAAAAGTTCGATAACCGCCAATATCCGACCATAATTTCTGGAGTTATGCCCCTTTACTTGCCGAAACAGTGTCCGCTCGATATCTCGAGTAATTATTAACGGATTAACTTCAAACTTCACAACAAGGTTAATTACCATGAAACCTCGGACAAGTTCGATAACCGCCATTATCCGACCATAATTT